GAAGCAAAAATTCCTCCAAAAAAAAAAATCATGCTAGGCATGCCTGCCCAGAATCCGGAGAGAATGGAGAAGAGAGGTTTCAACATGGCCATCCTCCCTGGAGGAGGTGCTTTCTCTCTATCTCTCTCTTTCTCTCCTTTCTCTCTCTTTCTCTCTCATTAGCACATGTGCCCCATAGAAAATCAAAAATTAATAAATAAAATGACTGTATCTGGCAAAATGACAAGTGTGATATACATATCCCTGATGTTTTCAACATTAACATGAAACACAGGAGTTGGGGATCACTGAATTAGAAGTGAATTGGTTCTATGCATTTAAAAGATTGCACTGCTAGAGCAGCCCCACCCAGTCTTTAGGGTGAGGAACATTTCTTCCACTGCTTCTGAGTGGCATGGGGGCTTCATCCCCCAGTTATAGATGGAAGGCCAGCTGGGGTGGGGCTGGAGGGACAGACCTAGTATGTCTCAGAAGGAAGCAGCTCTCTAATCCAAGACCTGCATTCAGAGCCCTGGGCCAGGTATAACACTCTACTTGTTTGCCTTAAAATAAAATAAATAGGGGACCAGCAGGTGGCGTGGTGGTTAAAGCACTGGCCACTCCCACATGGCTGACCATGGTTCGAGTCCTGAATCTGGTCTCTTGCCTTCTCACTTTCTCTCTCTCTCTCTGTGTCTTTCTCTGATCAAATTAAAAAGAAATGAGTGAATCAATAAAATTAAATAAATAATTCTTTAAATAAATAAATACAAATAAAATAAAATAAATAAAAATCGAAGTCAAAAGTTATCCAATGGTGCTTGCCTTTCCTGTTTTTTTTTTTTCCTCCTTTGCTTTCATACACATACACACACACTTCACACATGCACACACACACACACACCCTCTTCACACATGCATGTCCACTTGAGGGAAGGAGGAATGCCCTGTGTTTCTATAGTCTTTGCTAGCCATGTAGCCTGATCTAGGCACCAATGGCTTTGGGTTAAGACCTGTCACCACTGAAGGTCGTAACCAGACTCCTGGACTCCTGAGTAGAGCAGGACTGTCTCAGAACCCACGGTGGGGATCACAGCCTCCCAGTCTTATAGTCTTGGAATGAGGAATGATTATTTGGCCTCATAAATGAGCAAGATGTGGTGTGGTTTACAAGCTCCATCCACCGTCCCTTCTTGGACTCTCTAAAAGACATGAAAGTAAGTCTGCTCACTGGCTCTTGGCCCCTGATGCAGAAAGGGAGAGGCGCTGGTCACAGGAGCAGGCTTGGTCACCCCGAGGCACTGTTCGGCAAGTCTGTGACACCGGTGCACGGTTCTTCCTTCTGGGTGAGCTCAGCCTGCTTTCTTTTTTTTTTTGAAGAGGTTTTTGCTATAGGGTGCGTGCGCTCGCCAGACAAACAGAGAGAGACAGAGACAGAAAGCAAGAAATCACCTCCCAGGGGGGATGGTCATGCCGCAATCCCTTCTCCTCCATTCTCCTCTCGGGATCTTGGACACGCACGCACACGTGCCCAGCGTGAGTTCTAAGCCACAGGGTCCAGGATGCGAACCGCGGCCGACTACGTGGGAATCCAGCGACATAGCCATTACGCTAACTGCTGGTTCCCAAGCTCAGCCTGCTTTCTGTGGACAGACTTTACTCCACATGTCTTCATATGGATGGAAATGTTACCTACCGACAAAACAGAGAACAGGAATAGCGAACCTGCATTCATTGAAACCACTTGTGATAGATACTGCTTCAGATTTGTGCTTCTGCTTCAAACAGGAGTTGAGCAACACAAGGAGCAAGTCGTGGGTATTTCCCACTGTGGAGGAGGGACTTTAAGGACCAGAGCTTGGGCTTATGTCATTAGCTTCCCTGGAAATAACCCCCCCACACACCCCACGCACACCCTGCCACACCCAGTTTTATACCAAAGCAGTAGTGAGCTCACCTGCCTGGCTTTTCTTGGAAAAGATACTTCTAGGAATGTCTGTCTCACTTGGCTTCGTGCCTGCTTGTGTTCGTGACTCAAGTTCCTCAGCGGGCTCTGAGCAATGTCTGTGCCAGCATCATCACACTCCGGGACTGGGGCAGCCTGGCCCTGCATGGATGCTACCCTGGGGCTCTGCAGTGCTTGCCCTCAGGCAGCAATGGACACAACTGGTGTCACATGAGTTGTCTTGGACGTCACTCTTGTTACAGATAGGGCTGAGAAGGCAAAGAATAGGCAGGGACACCTCCCCACAACGAATTCGGTTCCTTCACACACCCACTCTGGGCTCGGGGTGGGTTTGGATGTTGCAGGGCTGAACACAGCCTTCTCCTTGCTTTAAGATTGACAAGAGTGACTCTTGAACCCAAGTTCAACTTCCACATGTGTACGATACCAGGTTTCATCATGCATGTGGTTTGGGACATGCAGGCATCAAAGATAGAAGTTGTTGCCATTCCAAGGTTTCAGTAAAGAGGTTCAGTTGTCATTTTTTGCAAGACCTTGGTGAGCTCTGTGGACCCAACCGTGTCCCACTGAGGGGCATGACTGATGCTCACGATGCTGTGTGGTCTTTGCAGACATTCTGAGGCTTTCTGTGGTTGATCCCTTTACCCAGGCAGATGTCTTTTTTTTTTTTTCTAGATTTGCTTTTGCTTTTCTGGCTGCTGTGCTCACAAACACGGCTCCCCTCAACCTGCAAGCGACCCACCCAGAGTAGGCAAGAGCAGACTGTAGGTGATGAAGGGTGTCTCAGACATCCTTGGGGTCCATAACTGGAGTGATCCAAGGAGTATGCCATGTCATCCAGCTGAGCTTGTGCAGTCAGTGGTCTACTCTCCCAACCTGGCACCACCCTGCAGTCAGGAGAGATCTGTCACCCACTGCCACCTTCTGACATGTCTACCATGCTTGGTGGTCTGCAAAGGGCAGGCTTCTCTGCATAAACCACAGGCAGCCTGAGCCACTTTGAGGTCAGGTGGGTTGTCTCTAGGATCTTGAATTTTGAATTTGCTGCTGCTATCAGATGGAATACATTTAATGTCTGACTCATAGTGTTCTAAGTGATAGAGCTGGAGGAAGAAGGGATATTCCACAGGCTGGGACACTTTGTGGGCCCCACACAAAAGGAGTGCAATGAACAGTGTGCCGCCCCAGTTCCAATACTTCTAGATCAGAAGACTTCACTGCCGACTCCAGATGGCTGACTTTGCTTGAGGGATGGGAGGTTCTACCAGGCCTCAGTCTGCCCTTCTGCCTGCAAGCCTCAGCCCAGGCTGTCCAATGCCTTACCTGGGGACCTGACTCTGTCTCAGACAGCACACCCAGCCTCCTACTCCTCATGCACTTGGCTTCACTGCCTGGGCTGAGGAAGCTAAGGGTCAGAAGAAGAAAGGATGCTACCGTTTTTAATCATGTGGATCTTCAGAGTTCACAGATCATATTGGCATATAGTACTTGTTCACCCTGTGGGGTGGTATCCCTACTTTATAAGTGACTTGTCCAAGACCACGTGGCCAGTAAGTGGTGGAGCAGGCATTACAACTGAAATTTCCCTTTCCCCACCGTTCTCCAATGACGCATGGACAGGACTTACGAAAGTCCAAGGAAACCCTTGCAGAAGGTGTTTAGGTTTTTCAGATTGTCAGAAGTAAACTTCGTAGCGTTGAGGGCTTGGGGACCCTGCAGGATATCTTCCTTATCTGGGTCACTGTTGCCATGCAGTGTCCACGGTCATGTGAGTGTCCTCGGTGTGCAGTTGACCATGGAGGGGCCAGGTTGAACATATGGGAATGAACTAAACAGTACCTTCTTCCCACCCCTGGTGAGTAGCAACCACGTGTTTCAGGAATTCCTTGCAGAGAAATTCTGAAAATTCCAGACAGCAGCAGCCTTCCCCAGTGTCAGTGTTGGATGAGACAGATTCTGAGGCTGAGGCAGTTGTGGCCCAGAAAATGTGATCAGGTTTTGAAGGTGTGGGACGCTGAGACCTTTCAAGAAACCTCAGGTGGATTTTTCTTTCCATCGTATGTTGAGTAAAGTAGAGAGCTGTCACTTCTCTCTTTTTGTTCTCTCCCCCCCAGGACAAGACATTTCAAAGAAAGTATTAAATTTATTCACGAGTGCCGACTCCGTGGTGAGGGTTGTCTCGTGCACTGGTACGTATGTCTTCTGTTTAGCAATACCTTATCTGGCCGGCTTGATTTCTCATTGTGTTGTTCTGCGTATGATTGTTTCCTTTCTTAATGGTTTTCTCTAATGTCCCCTGCTAGGGGTTAGTCATCATTTGCTTTTGTTAAAAGAGAACCCCGACTGGTTTTGCTTTTGTTTCTGTTTTTCCATTTCACTCACTGCTAGGATTTCTGTTGGGGCTCTCAAGGTCATTGGACGATAGACTCTGTCCTTTGTCAGGCTGCCTCCAACATTTGGTCAGAACAGCTTCCGGTAGATGGTACCGATTCTATAGGATCATCCCTGAGACGTCAGTGGCTGTTTCAGAACACTTTCTGAAGAGTTTTAATGCAAATGTAGGTGTTTCGCATCACATTGCTACACCAACATGAGACATGACCGCTCCTCCATTTATAAATTGGAGCATTTGTGTGTTTTGGACTTAATACTGTGCTTGGAAAGATCTAACTGAACTCTTAGAATAAAATGGTTCATTGCAAAAAAAAAAATTTTTAAAATAATAAAAATTTTAAAAATTTTTTAAAAATGGGTCATTGCAGCTCTCCACTTGTACCCTGGTATATTTTATGTAGATATGTACAAACACACACACACAATGAAAAAGAACCTACTCTAACAAGGAAAATACATACAGAGCTCTTGACAAGGTAGCTGGGAATTAGGACATTCTCAGTGAATGTCAGCTATCATTTTGATTACTGTGACTCATTTCTGTAGAGAGCCAAGAACCAACTTTCTAACACCAGGGCTCTGCCGTTCAAGTACAGGCTGGACAGGTCCTCTCTCCATGGTGCATGAGATGTGATATTAACTGAAAGCATAAACATCTTTTGGCTTTCCCCAAAGCAGTTGCTCTTACAATATAAAGTGAAGTGATAACTCCTAGTGAATATTGGTTGTGAGGTTAGTAGCAGCCCTACCAGAACAGAGGTAACCCAGTGCATGAAACCCAGATAAATTACTTAAGAAAATGTACGTGTTCTGAGGGCCAGTGACCCATGATGGGGGGAGGAAGAACACTAGGCAATTTGGATGATTTAAGAATGTCCCCTGCAATTCTATATGGTTTTTGAAATAATTGTGTTCATTTTAAAAGAGTAGGAAGTAGAGACCAGCAGGTGGCATAGTGCTTAAGACACTGGACTCCCACATGACTAGCCATAGTTCAAGTCCTATACCTGAAGCTTGAAACTCATGCTGAGTGCATGTACATGCATGTTCAAAATCCCAAGAAGAAAATGGAAGTGAAGGGATTGTAGCATGGCCATCCCCATGGGGGGAGGGGTAGTGATTTTTCACTTTCTGTCTCTCTGTCTCTAGCAACTATACACTCCCTATAGCAAAACTCTCTCCAAAGGGGGGGGGGGAAGGAGTAGGACATGTAATATAATAAATTCATAGCTCTTTTTAAAAGAGCAGGAGATTTCATAAAGACTAATGGTAGGTTTTTAACGTGCGTTTTCATTTGAGTTTTAAGCACCTTTGGGGTGCAATTGGAGCCAGTTAAGAATGAGTTTGTAACTCTTACTCCTGGGCTTCTCTGGGCTCCTGATGGATTCAAATCCCCAAGGTTAAAACCTAAGAGGGATCTATTTTTTAAAAGCTCCCTTGATATTTCTGACATAAAGCCCAATAAATAACTACTACTTGAGAATGCAATTTTAAGAGTATTATTACTTATATTTGAGTCCTGATATTGTAAGACTTATATATGTGTAGTCCTGATATTGTAAGACTTCGTATTTCATATAGTAGATGGACTTTTCTAAGAGCGAGACATATGTACTAAGCTTCCTCATCCTAAGCCTTTGGTAGAACACTCTATGTCTGACAAAGCACAGTCTTTCTGTGACTGCTTTGCTTTGCATATGCATTTAAAATTGGTCCCTTTACTCAGCCTGCTAGACATAGCTAACGGTTATTGCCTGCAGTACGTCTTGAGCCTGCACCCAGGGCACGTGGCATACATCTGCTGTGCTCTGCTTATTGTATTAAAAAGGATGCAAAAATAAAGATTTAGTGGGGACTGCTGCATTTTGGGGGCTTTGAAAATTTTAGGTTTAGGGGCCAGCAGTTGGCGTAATGGCTATGTCGCTGGACTCCCATGTAGTCGACTGCGGTTCGAGTCCCAGACCCGGTGTAAACTCACACTGGGCGCATGTGCGTGCTTACCCAAGATCCCAAGAGGAGAATAGAGGAAAAGGGATTGCGGCGAGGCCATCCCCCCCATGGGGAGTGATTTCTTGCTTTCTCTCTATCTTTCTGTCTTTCTGGGAAGTGCACACGACCTATAGCAAAACCCTCTCCAAAAATAAAAAATAAAAAAAGAAAGAAAGAAAATTCTAGGTTTAGCTCTTATGGCAAGAAAGTCAGAATTTAAAAAAGCATGAAGCATTCTAAACAAAATTCAATTATGGCACAAATCTTGGAAGTCTCAAGTTCCCTTGCTGTACCACAGTTATTTTATTGAACTACCTAAGGAAACATCCCAGAGCGATGAAGAATCATAAAGCTGAAGCGTCTGGAGTCGTACCCCATAGAAAATCAATTCACAACTGGAGGTGAAATAGCTGGAGACTACCCGAGAGTCTAGTGTCCTGAAGTAAAGGAAGCCCCATTTCGGAGTGATTTCCTGGCAACATGCTTGCTATTCACACGTCACGCAAGGCAGGGAGACGCTCTGAAACCTGGTCCTCTGAGTCTCCTTCTCCCAGTGGGGTGGATGGCAAAAGGTGGATCTGAAACTGCTCTTTCACACGTGGCTCTCGGTCTGCAGCCTGGCCGGGGTGTCCAGGAGCGTCACACTGGTGATTGCGTACATCATGACTGTCACTGACTTCGGCTGGGAGGACGCCCTGCACACTGTGCGTGCCGGCAGGTCCTGCGCCAACCCCAACCTCGGTTTCCAGAGGCAGCTCCAGGAGTTCGAGAAGCATGAAGTTCATCAGGTGAGTAGTCCTCAGGGAACATGGTAGAGCAGGCAGCCCTAAGCCTGTCCTTACATGCCCAGAATCAGGCAGGTTGGAGTTAAATGAGCCCACAGAGGACAGCAGGTGCAACAGTGCCCCACCTGCATCCCCATGGAAATTGTCACAGATCCCTTTTGTGCCAGGAGCGCCCACAGGATTTTGCACTGTGTGGTTGCCCTGACGTCTGGTGTCTCCTAGTCGCCTCGGTTTCTCTCCCTTGGGAAAGTTCCATTTTCTTGGATTGGCTTTATTTTCATGGACAAAACCTTTAAGAAGCGATGGTTTCTCTTGCTGGACACTGGCTGGCCAACCAGAGAGCTCTCACTGCCCAGTGGCTATTCATTTCCCCAACTACGTGGGGGCAAAAATGTCTACCAGCAAGTACTAGGTGAATGATGACATGGATGCTTTGTGTGTGATCTTTGAGTTTTGTTTCCAACCTCTTCAGTATCGGCAGTGGCTGAAGGAAGAGTATGGAGAGAGCCCTTTGCGGGATGCAGAAGAAGCCCAAAACATTCTGGGTAAATATAAAGAGCAAGGGCGAGCAGAGCCCCAGCCTGGCGCAAGGCGGTGGAGCAGCTTTCCAGCCCTGCCTCCTCTGGCCTACAA